ATTCGAAATAATGTTCAATAATCCCCTGCCCACCATTCCTAATTACGTCCCATTTCAAATGCTGCAATTGACTGCAAGTTACTTATGTGGACCAATTATTAGAGAAACTACAGAATAACCTTGACAAGCAACAGGGTTAATGAAAAAATGGGTTGATACACATTGGCGTGATTTGCACCTGAACATCGGAGATGGGTACGTCTGCACCTTAGCTCAGACCTAGCTGGCAACATCCTGCTGTTTCAACTATTAGCCACCAATTATGCTTGACATTTTGGCCCTCTACTAAATTTAGACGAAATTTTGATTGACCTAGCTGCTTATCATCTAGACCTTCTTCCAAATGCCAAAATTCACAATGTCTTCCATGAGAGTTTACTCAAGCCCTGCATTGGTTCACCACTGACAACCGCTCTACCTGCTGAAATTGTTGACAAGGAGCCAGGCCTTTGAAACACTGTCAGTTCTTAGATTGGAAATGGGTTGATGATGTTGATGGACCAAGACAGAAGGTCCTCTGAAGAAGCCACGTAGGAAGACTGTGCTATAATCCAAAATGATTTCCACCTTGAGGACAAGGTTCCTTTCGAGACTGGGGTATGATAGGAAAAACGGATCATATGGACCTTCAGTAGAAGAATGAATAGGACCCAATAGTGATAAGTGATAACCAAGTAGTGAGGAGAGGCCAAATATTAATGCCCCTTCAAGGCCCAGAAGGACAATCAGAAAGGTATCTCACCTAGAGGATTTTATTTGGTCAGAACAGAACTAGGGTGTTGTGCAGACAATTCTGTAATTATAGGAAAGTGTTAGAATATTCCACAATGAAGATTGCATTTTTGCAATCAGCTATTTTTCTCCTTTTTTCTTTTAATCCTGCGGATGGTGGAAATATATATAGACATACTTGTAATTGACAAAGAATGAAAAATATTTGAATTGCTTCCTCTGAGTTTTCTCTTTTCTGTTATTGCTTCCCCACTCTTCCATTTATTTCCCATCTTCATAACAGTGTTTGTACATCTCTGTATTGAGTCCATACCTAATATTTAATTAAGGGAATGAAAATAGGATTAGTTACAGCTTTCTACGCTGTGGTTTGACTTGAAATCACCTGTCTCCTAGTCCTAATGGTAAATTGATCGATACTTTACCACCTTGTGCTTCATACTGTTTTCAGTTTTCACATTCTTAACCAAGATTTTTTTTTTCTCCTGTCCATTTGGCAATGGCTAACTGCATGCAAGTGGCAAATTTGCACTGACTTGAGTACACTGAACACATCTCATTCTAGTACGTACCATAGAGTGAATGAGAAAGCATGCGAAACCCATTTCAGAATAATGAAAACACAGCAATGAAATAACCAAATAGGATAGGTTCAGCCGCCC